TTAAATGGTAAAAGTATTTTCAAAATGTATACTGCAATGATCCAATTCTTTTGTCCCTTTTCATATTTCTTCTTTTTGTATGATGTAAAAGTGCAACTGTGAATTGAATTGGATTTGTGGTTGTACTAATGGAAGTTTGGCTTAGTCTTTGGTTTCAAAAGTGTTGTTGTATTTACATGGAGGGATTCTCTGTGTTCATACCAACCAAAATCTTTGCTTCTCTGTCTGTACAGAAACATGACTGAACAAATGGCATCACTAGATTTGGCCTTTGGGAACAATTGACATGGTTTTAGAGAAAGCAATATCACATTTTATCATAATAAAGTTCACATGGTTCTTCCTTCATCAGAGATCCTCAACACTAATAAATCAGTCTTACAAACAATTATTTTGTGTTTCGTAATATAGAGCAAAATTTATAGAATGTAAAGGCATATGAGCCAACAGATTCAAATTGGAAACCTTAACAGTTTTCTTTCCTACACAAGGCAAACAAAAATAAACTCACTTCCCTAAAAAAACCAACTTATATATTGAAAAACATACAAAAAAGAGAAACAAGAAAGAAAATTTAAATTGCTTACACTTGGTGAAAACAGAGAAGTCCCTTCCTTGGGATTATGCTTGGAAATCGCTTTATAAGGTCAGCAAAAGCATGAATAAGCCAAGTGGTTCTTCTTTGAGATGTATGGAGAGATGAAATCTGTAGCAAGGCCAGATGTCTCTGAGATTTCTGCTGGAACTAGCACTTGAGGCTTACCTAAAGCTATCCTTTTCCCAACTGTGTTTGCATAAAACAGACCGGATATGGCTGGAACAAACACATCGCTTCTTGAACTTATGTAGAAGTCGATAACGTTTTCATACTCGGAATTCTCTGATTCAAGGTACTTTGATCTCTTACTTGCCGGCATTATTGCCTCCTGCCATTGTTAAGTGACAAAATCAAGATTAGCAATATGGAAAAGAGAAACAAAACTTTCTTGGACTACAGAATGTTTGTTTTATCTACACACCTTTGTGAATGTTTTCGGGAAGATATCCTTAAGGATATTGAGGCTACTGTCCCATCTTGGCTGAGTCAGATAGATAGTTGTGTCGCCGGAAAATCCAAGCTTCCTCAAGAATAAAGCAATCTCTTGCGCGTTGTAACATGTCTTGGACCCTGCTACACCGGTTGAATGGCAATTTTTCCTCTCAAGAATGTCGATTCTAAGGTCTACCGCTATAAAACGGCCACCTGATTTCCGGCTATGAGTCCTCAACTTCTCAATCATTGATTCAACCACTGCATTCACTTCAGGTTGTAACTCCAATGAACCAAACATTGCCAAACAAGCGACCGGATCAGTTTCGCCGTCTTGTGAGGACTTCCTCAAATTCACAGAAGGGAAGTATGTTGCGACTCGAATGTTTCCTTTCGATTTGAAGATGGGTTTAATGTGCTCCTTAATGTAATCTTCTGTGACTCGAGTAGGGACTTTCACAATGGCGATATTCCTTAGAGATACTTCTTCAGGCAATTGTTTCACAACTTTGACAACATTTTTTAAGCTTTTAATTAGCTTATCAGCATAATAAATATCTTCAAAACTCCTGATAAACCAGTGAGTTCATTGATTTAGAAATCGTAAGAGAGAGAAATTAGCAAAACCATAATGTCATATGAACATACAACAACAATCCTAACCTTTCATCACCAGGTTTGCTTCCTCTTATATCAGGAAGAACTAGTGTTGCTCCAAGATGCTTAGCCACCATTACAGCATCAGTGATCTAAACAAGATAACAAAAATTAACCACACAAACAACAAATGGAAGAAGATGACCAACACATCTGAATGAAACCATGGTTGACTTTACAACTTTAGAGTTTTTCATCAAGCATACCTGAGAGATATGGTACTCGGGACCATTTGTTAGCGAGAATGTAACATACCCTTTCGACGATACCGCTTCATCTACAAAATTAGTTCCTTAGTAAATACTCCAGAATCGATGATGC